ATGGCTTGGCAGAGGGGAGATGTCATTATTCTTACTAGCACCAGCAGTTTTAGACCAAACCTTCTGTCCTTACTTTCCATGAGAGTCTGAAGATTTTCAATCAAGAAATGTGTGAACAAAGTTTGGGTAAAACATTTATTGTTAGGCTGAGCAAGATTTTTTCATGGCCAGGAACACAAGCAGGAAATCTTATTTTCATTCTAGGACTCTCAGAAAGTTGTCAGGGCTTCTGAATATAATCAAATATATAATAAAATATAATCAAATCCCTGTCTTAAAGGTTCTTTTCTTCATAAGTACATTGTCCACTAGCAAGGTGGGAGGCTCAGTCACTGATGCCAGAGCAGACTGAGGGCTTCTCATAGAGAAGCTAATTATATTTTGCCTTTTTTTTTCTTCTTTCATTTGCAGAAAGACAGAATAGTTGTGAATAAATTGGGAAAGGGGAGGGTGAGGAGAACTCAGAATTCATTAATATTCATACTTAGCCACAAGTACACAGGAAAGGTGACAAGGAGCTGGCTGCCCAGAAACCCATGCACCTTGGTGCTAGATAGAAAATTGAATTTAATTATAGTTACCTTTAGCTCAGCACCTAATGAGCATGTTTGAAATAATGGAGAGTTGCTGTATAATAGAAGATCCAGGACTCAAACAGAAAATGCAAACCTTCTCTCCTTCTTCCCTGCTCTGCTGAATTTAAAGTAATTCTGCCAAGGCCCAGGAGAAAAAGTAGATTTATATTATGTTTTTTTTCAGTTATTATCACAGAAAATCATCCAGAAAAAAAAATAAATTAAATAATATGGTCACTAGGGGGGAACAAGCACATTATAATGGAGAGTAAAAGAATGGAGACTTATTCCATTCTCACTTTGCCTAGTGAGCACTGCTAGGGTCTTGAGGTCTTTGTTTTTTCTTTTTTTTTTCTTCTTATATCATGCTGTTTTATCCATTTTCTGATAGCTCTTAGGGTTTTTTTTTTATCCTTTATCTTATTTTCTAGGAGACTACTATCCATGGAATTTACTACCTTGTTGCTAGGGGAGAAAGAAGCCAAGGAGATTTCTTTCACACACATTTCCTAGGATTGCTTCAGAATGTTGGTTCTCACAAGCAACTTTAAAACTGCAGACCTAAATCCTTCTCTGTAGCACACAGGCACAGGTGGGGATGGAAGCTAGCAGAGATGCTCCATGTAAATTAATGTGAATTTAGGGGAAAGCAGAATGTGGTCTGTACTTGGCTTTTTGTCTCATACTTTTGCATTGCTGAAATGAAAGTTGAACATAGCATTTGAAGCTGCTTTTAGCCTTACAGCAAGGACCTGATGTTTGTAGCACAAGCCCAGCTTAAATTACTTCCATTTTAGTGGCCAAGGTAGGAAAGTGAGTGTCACAATATTATTTTTATAATATTTTTATATTATATTAAAATTTTTATTATTAAAAATATATATTTTTAACCCATGTTGAAATTTGGCTTTTCACAGTCCAGTCATGAGCTGTAGTTAATGACCTAGTGAAATAGCATTTATTTTTAAGGTAAAGCTTCTTCCAACGTGACCAAACCTTTAAAGGTTTACCTGGAGGTGAAACCATGCAAGCTGGCAGGATGGAGGGCAGGTGGCACGGGTACCAAGCTATGAAATGATGGTCACAACCTGGCCCTGAATCTCTCAAGTTTAGTCCAGGTCTCTTTCAGCCTCTATTTTTTTAGTTCAGAAAGGGCCATGTTTGTTTGTTTCCTGGCTCTGTTCCTAGGCAAATTTGGTAAATCTTGGGAGAAGCAGAAAATCACATGGTTTCCCATTTGATCTCTCTCCTCTTTTGTTCTTTGTTTGGAAAGACTGTGGTAATGGTTCATGTTGCTTAAATATTCCTACACTCCTAGAAGACAGATAACACTGACACTTGAGAGATTCTTGAGATAAATCTCTTATGGACACATGGTAGTTTCTACACCACATGTTTTCTCCTTCCTGCTTCTTTAGCATGCTTTTGGTGATTTGTTTGTTTGCATGAATTACTCTCAGCTTCAGAACACATCCATGTCTTTTATTTCTTATTTCCTTAATTGGGGATGTTTGTTTTTTGTTTTTTTTTTTTTCTGCTTCTGCTCTTTTTGGATTCATATTGCTTTATTAGCAACATTGCAGTCTATTTTGGGTGATTTAGAACAGAACAGATAGAAATGCATAAATATCATTCCTTGGCAAATAAGCAAGCCTAGATGTGCCTTAAACACATTTTAAAACATTTTAAACCCTTATTCACAAGCAATTTGTGTAGCTGACTACTGGGCAAACATAAATCCCTAAATCCTTCTTTTCTTTTATTCTGATCAGCATTGCTTTGTCTTTCTTCTGCTTTTCTTGTCAGCTTACTTCTGAGGGATGGTAGGTGCCACCATGCTTTTAAAATCCTGTTATTTTGCTTGTTTAGACACCTGCATACCACAGCAAATTTTTGCCTCAGTTGCCACTTATTTTTTGACTAAAAACAGTCTTTAATTATGAACGAGACAGAAACCTTCTCTATGTTTCTGTCTTTAAAGGCACAATAGATGCCTTGGCTGGATGCTGCTGCCTCTGTTTATTATCTATCTTCTGTTTATTAGAGTCCAGCCCCTCACTAAGCTGTCAGCTGAGCAGAGGAGATGCAGAGTGACAGGCATTTCTGAGTGCACTTCATGGATGTGCCAGAGCCCCAAAGTGAGTCATGAGGTGTGACGGGCATCCACAGTTTTTCACCTATGTGTGGGACTTGAAAATCTGCAAGATGGTTTTCTTTGGGCAAAATAGCTGCTCTCCCCAGAGCTGTGGTCCAGGCGCTGCGGGTCCTGTTTTGTCAGCGCTGCAGGGAAGGAGATGCTGTTGTGGAGGCTGGAAATGGCACAGCCCAGTTAGGAGAGAGTTATGGGAAAATTTCCTTTGGCTTCTTGGTCTCTCATGTGTAACTGTCATGGCCATTGTGGCGCCTTGCGATGTGTAGTGAGCATCACTGCATTTTGCTTGGGGAATGAGAAGGGCTGTCCTTCTCCTGCTGTCTGGATTGGCAGTAAATGTGGTCTGAGGAAGTGTGGGGAAAGGGAAAAATACAGAGTCTGAGTGGATTTTCTTTTCTATACTCTCTCCGCATAGACTCCCTTGGGGAAAAGGGAGTCAATGAACTAGCACGTCTCCTGAGGGACTGCAGCCATATTTTCAGTCAAAAAATTTTGGTTTTCAATGAAATGCATGTCAGAAATATTTTGCTTTCAGTGAAGTATGTGGCAAAATAATTTTTTTTAATTTTTATTTTTTTCCCAGTGAAAAGACAGCAATTTTGTGGGGGAATAAGTAGGCTTAGCTCTATTAGTAATACTATTTTCTGTCAAGAAGCTAATTCATCTTAATGGAAAAATTATAATCAAGCGTGGGAAAGAAGCACTTTTCTAGGCAGCGATCCTGTCACCTGTAGAGAAGAGATTTGGGATCTGGAGTGGTTTGCTTCTATTTTGAGCTTTAATGCTAATATTTTCAGGCTCCTCAAGTCAGCCTCATGCTGTGTGGGCATGCACAGCTGGAGCATTATGAAAAATAAATAAAAAGATATTTCTAATAGAATGGCCAGAGTTGGTAAAAGTGGCTTCATCTGCTCTGCTGAGAGGTTTATGAAACCAGACTCCCCCGTGGCAACAGAGAAGCACCCGTCCTTGCCATCATCTGTATGACTTCATGCCTTTCCTTTGAAATACAACCCCTTTATGTCAGCTCTATCTTTATCAATCAGGGTGGCACGATAAAGTGCGAACACTGAGATGATAAAGAGAATGTAGATTGCGGCTACCACTGATACCCGCTGGCTGATCCTGAACTGCTGTGTAGGAGCCTGTGGGAGGATGCAGGGAGGTGTCCCTGCAACAGCATAGATGGAGTATCAGATTGCACCAAGCATGAGAATAACTGTATGTACAGAATGTATCCAACCCTCAGGCACATATCCATATGTTTGGATGCTGGTGGGTGTTTTTTAAAGTTACTCTTTTAAAGATATCCACACAGGTGGCTAGCAAGCATTTGTTAGATGGCACAGCATGAATGTTGAAGCAATCTGACTGCTCGTGGGTGAGGAATAAAAGGAGAAGCAATGCTGGGTGTCCAGGATTTTCTGGATAATGGTTATTTTCTTTAAGAAAGAAAGGACTTTTTTTTTTTTCCAGTTAGCTTTGGGAGAATGTAGAGGGCTGTGCAGAGGCTGACAGCAGCCTCTTGTTTCAGAGGAAACAAAAACCCCATCAGGTTTAGATGGCAATTTAGAAAAACAAACCATGCTTTGGTGATGTGATTTTTTTTTTTTTAAATGATATTTCATGCCTGTGTGAAAAGTAGGTTTCTTTTAGTCCTTCAAGGGAAATAATAATAATTAAAAAAAGAGAGCTCCAGGTGTATGTGGGGGAAGGCAGTGTTTCAGTTTTGAGGTGGGTTACTTTTATTTTTTTTATGACAGGATATGCTGAGGCCAGAATGTGCCATTGTAGAAGAACTCTGTGATGAGCCACAGGCTCACCAGAGGCAGTCCTGCACCACTTCCTGACAGGATAATGAGAGATTTCCCCTATGTCCAGCCAGCTTCTCTGGGTTTGCTTTCTTCTCTCCATATCTACTCATGGGACCATCCTCTCCAGGTGGACTGGCTTGTTGTACGGGCAGTCAGAGGACAGCAGCTGTTGCTGGGCACGTTCAAAAGCAGCTGAAAGGATACTGAAGCCACTTTCAATCCATCTCTAGGCCTAAGTTTGCTCAATGCAGAGACAGCAATAAACACCCAGTCGCTGGGTCACTAACTGTAAGGGAGGTTTCCTGGGCACATATTATTTTGAGGAACCTTTTCTTCTAAAGCAGTAAAAGCAGCTACTGAACTGAAGGCAACACATCCTTAATTTCTGAACAGTTGCTGAGAATGAAAGGACTGTCAGAAAAAAACCCCAGCCTAATTAATTTTCCGCCTTTTATCCAGAAGCTCCCGAAGCCATGTAGAAAACAGAATTTCTTCAGACCACCCCACGATTTCTCCAACATGTCTCCAGCATGAGCGCTCTCATCACAACTTTTTGTGGCATCTACAAGATTTGTGCCAGCACTCACTGAGGTAAACAATCCCAAAGTAGATTTGCTGGCTCATTAGCTGTAAGTCTGTAAGGACATGAGTGACGTATGAGAGAAGTTAATTAAAAGAGCTATTGTTGCGAGGATGGAATGAATGCTGCTGGTCACACAGGCTGGGAGTAGGACTCAGGTAATATTCATATTGAGCTATAACAGGGATATATAGCTGGCTGGGCCAAGTAGCAGCAGAACCACCCATATGCTGTTGAAGCCAGGAAAACGGAACAGGATCAAGAATTTGACTCAAAATACTGGCACGGGTCCCTCACCAAGCTGACCTGTGCCAAGCACATCTGTGTATTGTGAAGGGAGGGAGAGCTGTAGACCCTAATATTTTAGTCTGAAGCTCTTTGCAAGTCGGTTTGGCCAGTACTTGCCTGTAAAGGCAGTAATTGTCTATCACAATTTGCTTCAAATATAATTGAATCTCAAGAAAGATGAGAACAGCCACACTGATATCATCTGACTGGAAAACTGACTGTGTGCAAAAAAGGTTAAAAATACAGCAAAAAACACCTGGCTTTCTGCTGAAAAGCTGTGGCACTCCATGGGAAATCTTGGAAATGACTGAGTGATGCTCTAGGTCCTTTGTCTGTCAACTCTTCAAGGCTGCTATCTGTGTCCCATGTGGACTGTGCAAGCCAAAGGTGGTGGCCCTTGGGGCAACTCTCTCTTTCCAAACTTACAACCTCAGGCTATTAAACTGTAGTCCGTGTGGGTGGTCTTTAAAAATCCTTACTAAAGCCACACCTTATGCAAGCACTCACACAGACATTCACCTGCACGCCTCATGGAACGTGCACCATTTTTCCATCCTATGTTTTCGGTCACTTTGGGAATACCTTCCCTTGTGGGCTCTGGCTCATTCTATTCTTTTGCCATCTCTGAGCGATGTTTACACTGCATTGTGCTGAGAAGCCCCTTAAATCTTCACATGGCCCCTCGTGTGCGCGTGCAGACAGTCCGGCATTATCCAGCTCCGTGGTGAGGATGTTCACATCTCTTCTCATTAGCGATGTGCAATGTAAAAGGCTTGCCTTGAGTTTCTTGAAGACGGCAGTAATGAAGCTCTGAAGAAATAGTCAGGGGAACGGAGCTAATTAAAATGCAGCAGGGTGTAGAAGTAAAGGTAGCAGCAGCTCGCTATGCCATGTCTCTGGCAATCAGCAGTCCCTAGTTTACCCACACTAATTGACAGGAGACGCAGTGCTACTGAGTGTGCACACAGCCAGCGTTAATGGAGTCAGCACACGCTGCTCTTCCTGCCTGACTTGTCTCATTATCGACCTTGAACTGGCAAAGGTCAGTTGATGGTGCTGCTTTCATCAAGATGACAGGTGTCTGAAGATCTTCTCTTTGTAGTATAATAATTTGGCAGTTGTCTTATCCTGTACGTGAATTAGTGATCTGATCCCAAAGAGATGACGGATAAAAAAGACTGGCTTACTGTGGTGAGGAGCTGGGCTGTTGTATGTTCAAAAAAAAATAAAGGTACCAGAAGTCCTGGAGGAAGGAAACAAAAGTATATTGCATAATTCCCCCTGGAGAAGATAGTGCCTGAAGAAGCAAACAGGCAAATTTTCACAAGTGGAAATGCAGTCAGTCCACTGTTAAAAATCAGCAGCTTGTTTGAGCTGATGACGAGCACCAGGTGCACCGCTGGCACTCGGCAAATATCTAATAATAATAATAACAATAGCTGGGGCACCTGACACCTGCAGTAAGCCGTGAGTGACAGTGTTCTTGGGGAGATGTCTCATCTGAAGGCAACGTTGTCTCCAGGAGATGCATCATTATAACATGCTGCACCCAGGCGGCATCTCATGTGCCCTCCTTTTTTTATTCTATTACAGATGGTCTCAGCAAAGCCACTGGAGACTAACAGAAATGCTCCTGCCATCTTCCCCTTCAAATCTACAGCACCAGCATTTTTGAGCATTTTTAATGAAAACAAATACTTTGGTTTTCTGACAGATGGTCTGCAGTCTCCTGGTTAGTAGGTTGCCGAAGCCTGAGCTTGCATCTCCTTTCCTTTCCCAGCGCCACTTGTGCAAGGTGTGTGTAAAAGTGCTATGTGCTGCCATAGCATTTGGCCACTTGCTTGTGGGTAAAAATGGGGTAAATCAGGGCCTAGACCTGGGAAGAGTCTATATTCCCCAGCAGAGAAGACAGAAAAGTGCTCCTTGCTGAAGAGCTGAGGGGAAATCTTTGTGGCAGCTGACTTGTTGGCAGCACCAGACTGCATTTTTCTTGGCTGAGATAGGGAGGATGAAAGTCAGTGTGAGCCCAGATATGCACAGCAGCACCTGCAAAGGGACTCCTTCAAAGAGGTTCCTGCTCCCTCATCTCAGTGTAGCCCCACTTGATGACTCATGGGCAGCTCTCTTGCCCTGCTCAGGCCTCACTAAGGGTGCCGGTCCCCAAACTGCTGTGCGTTTCTTGAGGAAGATCACAGATTCATAGAAAGGCCAAGGGCAGGTCCACCTTTTACTAGACCAAGTCACTCAAATCTCCATTCAGCTGGGCCTTGAATGTGGATGGGGCATCCACAGCTTTTCGGGGTCACTGCCTCATCATCCTCACAGTAAAAATTCCTTCCTAACATCTAATCTAAACCTACTATCTTTCAGTTTGAAGCCATTCCCCCTTTTCCTATCTCTACATACACTTGTAAATAGACTCACCTTCTTTCTTGCAGGTTTCCTTCAGGAAGATCACAATTACTTCAACCTGAGGGCTTCTCTTTTCCAGGATGAATAAACCCAATTCTCTGAGCCTTTCCTCCTAGGAAAGGTGTTCCGTCCCTCTGGTCATGTTGGTGGACTCCTCTGGACTTGCTCCAACAAGTCCACACCCTCCCTGTGCTGGGGGTCCTCGAGCTGGATGCAGCCCTGCAAGTGCTGCAGGTGTAGAGGAGCAGAATCCCATCCCTTGTCCTGATGGCCATGCTGCTTTGAATGCAGCCAAGACTGTGACTGGCTTGTGGGGTTATTGCTGGCACCAGAGCCAGGGAGGGGAGAGCAAACCAAGCAGTTTTTTTTTTTACCTGCAGTTCCCCAGCATATTATTGAAATATCCTTCTCTGAAAGTGAATGCTCTTTGCTAGTATAATTACCAGAACACTTCTTCATTTATCTGTGATTATAGGAAACTGAAGTATTATCTGGGGAACAAAATACTCTGTAACTCAAAAAGGATATATAGCAGCTCTCTTTTTAAAGATGTATGAAAATAAAATGCTGGGCAATGTCTGTATGGTTGCAGTCCTGCTCCAAAGGTAGAAGACCAGGAGATTTTTACCCGGGCAAGCCCAAGGGCACCAATGAGATCATTCTTTAAACAGAAGAATATTTTTGTTATTGAGCCTTCCCAGTCTGACAGTTTTTTTTGGCTGCCTCTGTGGTGACTGTTAAGGGTATGGGATGCTGCTGGTCTCTGTCTTCCCAGTACCTGGTGCTGCAACAGCCACCAATCCCCCCATCCCACACACACACACATTCAGAGGGGCTGTTTGCACTGCCCTCAGCACTACATCCACTCTACCATGTCAGGCTGCACTCTCCTCTGGGGACACAAGAGCAAATCTCCACCTTTGTGCCAGGTTGTGAAAGCAATTGTAAATTCAATGTTAAATGAAAAAAAAAAAAGCGTTGCCTAAGTGCATACTGAGATCAATAAAATATGCAAGAATGGACTCCTGCTGTTCAGGGCTGCAGCCATCTCTAACCTAGAGCAGGGAGTCCTGGAGGAGTACACTGGGGCTGCTCTAAGTGACAGCTGATAGGAATCCTACATTAATGCAACAGGTAGGGCTCATATGTTTGCACCCAGAGGTCTCATGCTCAGGTGCCAGCTATGAGGGTACTCTCAGGATGCCTCTGTCTGAAAAGGTAGTGATAAAGGAAAGAAACAGTGATAAAGAAAATTCTAGCAATTATGGTTTTGTGCCTGGGTTAAATCCTTCCAGCAATAGGTCATTTCTTGTTTTGCAGAAGAGTTTCTATCTCCTTTTTTCCTCAGCAAGGAGATAATAAATTATAGACGTGGTGAAAATAAAAGGTAGTGACCATTTTTCTTCTGCTGGGCAAAGAGAGATTCTCCCATCCAAACCAAAGACAAATGAGATGGATTCATGAATCATTTCTTCTTATAATGAAAAGCTCAGCTTATGCTGCTGAAACCAATAACAACATGGTGGGACAAGAGTTTCTCTTTTCTGCCAATAGAAAGCACTAATATGCATATGGGAAATATAACATGAAAACTATGACAAATATATTGTGTTTGACTGTTAGACCAACCTTGGTTCCTGATGTCTTCCAGGTTCTCTCTTTCATTACAAATAAAAAAGAAAAATAATAATGAAATAAAAAAAGGCACCACTAGAAATTTCTAAGGATGAAAGTATTTGATTTAAAGCAAAGGAATCTAAGAATATTTGTGGCTCACAGGAGTCTTTATGTTAAGGACATTTGTGTCAGTGATTTGAAATTTGAAGTGTTTTGTCCTTGTTCTTCCTCTGTGTGTGTATGTGCTGGAAGTCAGGACTGAGAGGCAAAGTGGCCTCTGATATGACAGCTTTCCTAAAGGGTGTCAGGAGACATGTTCTGAGAGATCTGGTGCCAGTTTGTCTAGTTTGAGGAGGGAGGAACAGGACCCACAAACACTAAGGCAATTTGTGCAAAAGGAACCAGAATTTTTGGGAGACAAAAATGGAACAGCTCTCTCACTGAAGTCAGGTATTTGGAGGATGCAGTTTGGATGGTGCTCCCATTTTCATCAGCAGTTAGGGCTTTTTGTTTACAGCCATCTTTTAGTGCCAGCTTACACAATATCAATGAAGTGTTTTACTCTGAAAGCCTGTCACTTCTATCTCACAGCTACTGTGGTGTGGTCAGGCGTGATCTGACTCTACCATGCTATTAATGGCATTATTAACTGTTAACATCCAGGAAATTATGTTTGTCCCAGTGCACTGCCTTAGGAAGTGAATCAATCTGTCTTTAGATCCCTTCAGAAAGCCAGTTATCCCTTCTCCAGAAGTATGATTCTTTTTTCAGCCCCTTCCAATACTCTTCCCAAGAAGATCTGGAGTGCCTACTTTATTTTGCACTCATTTGGAGCAGTATGGAAGCCTGTCTGAATTTTCACACTGTCCTTCAAAGGAAGCGGCTGTGTCTTCACACTCTCTTGTTAGAAAAAAAATTCTCCTGCCTTTAAGTCACAGCTTGAAAATTCCTGTATCTTCAGAGATATCATCACTATTTCTCAATAATTAGATTCATATTATTTTTGATTCCACAACTGGAAATACCTAAGTCCTGAAAAACAATTCCTTTTCTAATCTGGAGAAATCTTAGAAGAAAATATGCTATGAGAAGGACAATGAGTATCATTCTTTTATCTTGTCTGTTTTATGTCAACTCTTCTATTAATCATCAATACAGCATAGCAGAAATGTTTACTACAGCAGAAGATTATGAATTTAGTGGAAAAAGCCTTTGTAAAATTCTATGCCTCACTTAACTCTGTGATTTTTTTGTCTGATATGCACATTGTCTATCACATTGCTATGTCATAGGAAGGCCAAGGAATTTGTAAGGGAAAAAAAATAAATAAAAGGAGATTGATGAAACAACCTGCAATGCTCTTCATGGGTGCTTGTGCTGTTTGGATGTGTGCAGAGGTCCAGGAGCGTTGTCACTGGTGGCCTGGTGAGCGAGTGCTCAGCAATGAGAGGGGAAATTTACAGCAGAGCCATGATGAGGACCAGGCTGCAGCAGGGAACTTGGTCAGGAAACACCACTGGTGTTTTCCCTAAGTGGGTTGTTTTTCTGTAATCACTTACACTTCACGAGAGAGAGGGGAAATGTTGGTGTCAGAAGAGAATGGATTTGCCAGACTCAGTGCAAACCTGAATTCACAAGATGCCAACATAGCTTTGCAAATCCGAATACTTCAGGCATTCTTATCTTCAGATAACAGTTAGAAGGAGACATTCTTTTTTTCTGTTTGTCCACTGCTGCCTAAAAGCTAATACCAAGAAAGTAATTTTAGCAATTGATTTTTTTTATCATTCTTGCACAAATGCTTTTTTGTGGTCTGGATTTTCTTCTGCACTTCACATTTTGATGGGTTTTGTTCTGTTGTATAACAGCAAAATCAAGCTAAGGAAAAGGGCAATGTTTCTTTCCTGTGTGCTGCATTTGAATAAAATTAAGGTCATGGCAGAAAAGCAGATGAGACCTAGAGAATGTATAGATCATCTGAAAATATTGGCAGAAGTCATCACTGCAAATATTTGCATCATGAAAAGTCATAGAATGTTTTTATATGGGTGGCTTATTTGTCTTCCTGACTCTAGATTTCTGGTTCTTGTGTCTAGCCTTTTTGCTTATGTCAAAATCTTCTTTGCTTCAGATATGTATAGCAATCCATTTGGCTGATCCAAAGCCAAATGAAGTCAACAGGACTATGTATTGCCATTTATTTTCATCTGTAAAAGGCTATATTTATATTATATTCAGCAGTTTGAAATCTGATCTTCTGTATTAGTAATGCAAAAAAAGTGCTTCTGTGCCTATATCCCACTTATTCTTCAATAAACTCTTTTAGCTGTATTAGTATTTAGGAAAAAAAAAAGGAGCTATCTGTCCTTTGGTGTAAGATATCTTTTACCAGAAGATCACTGCTACACCTCGGTGTCAAGAAAACTGCAGGCACATTTTCTGTGATAGAAGCTTACAGAAGTAAACATTAAAAGTGAACTGACTGGATTTGTTAATTAAAAGGAATGTCAGTCATTTTCTCCAACATTAGCTTGACCTAATCTTTCAGATACAAAGAGGATCACTGAGTTTGAAAATAAGACAGTTTTTGGGTTTCTCCCATTCTTCCCATGTTTGCTGCTGGAACTAAATGCAGAAGGATAGAAAGAGTGGGAGGGGAAAAGACGCCTCTGGGAAGCACTTTTTGGCAAAGTATGAAGTGCCAGGCAAATGTACTTGTAAGATTAAATCCTGGGGGATTTGCACCCCTAATCTATCTAAATTACAGAGGAATGCTCAGACTGTAAGGGAGCTCATTGTGTCTCAGCCTATGAATTTCTCATGTTCCCACTGCTACCAGTAATCACATCTGCAGACAGAAGTTTTATTATGACTACAGTTGGATCCTCAGTTCATATCTGGGCTTTGTCGTTCATTTGCAAAATAGCAGCCTGAGGCATCTTCCATGCTTTACTGTAAGATGCTTGAAATGAGTACCCTTTATTCCATTCAAGAAGGAAAACAGGCAAAGAGGAGGAGAAGAAATGGAATGAGATATTCAGTTTCTATTACCTGGTGGGAAATATTTGTAGTTAGAAGTTTGGCTCTTCCCCTATTTATCAGAAGGAGAGCTACCAGGACAGGAAGGAAGAGCTCAGTTTTGTCTATGTCCTCTGAAAATGTGTGACTGGATTAACTCCTCTTGATTATAGTTAATGCAGAAATACAGGTGCTTTCCTTTCTAACCAGTCAGACTGGCTACAGTTCCTACAGAAACAGGCATCTTCTGCCTTGTTATAAGGGAAATTAGTCACAAAACACTGTAAAAATATTACAGAGATAGCTCAAAAATTCCAAAATGACAGTTTCTTTGTCGTTGTGATAGACACCACATGGCTGCCTCCTCTAACAAAACCAACACCATGGCTCGACCTTTTGGACCATGCTGGCCTAGCAAAACCAGGCACCCCCTCGCTAACGATGGTCTGACCTTACCTCTGGGGGTTTTAGCATGTGTCTGCTTAGACTTTCATTTCTTTGTGTCCATCAGGGGTTCTCTTACAGCAACCCAGAAGAAAACAAGCTTATTTCTTGAAGTTCTTAGTGAAATCATTGAGAACTGAAGGTAGATTTGTGCCTTCAATGTCCAATCATACAATGCAAGTAATGATGGCAGAGCTAACTTTAGACAGAAGAGGATTGCAAATGAAGGAGTAAGAGAGACTGGGATAGAAAAATAGAGAAGAAATTCAGTTTTGTTGTGGGCATTGGTGCAGTCTATCTATTACAGTAAAGAAAACCCCAGTCTCACTGTGTGTAGGCAAGACCCCAGAGATGAGCAGAGACTCTCTAGTGGGAGTGGCTGTGAGCAGAACAATGCTTCCCATGTCATCTTTATCTCCTGTATGGGATGTTTCAAGCAGAGAAGCCAAAGCAAACACATTTTGCTGGTGTTGCTTCAGTGCCCAGGTGAAGGGTAACCCAGATATTCCAGGCAGATCAGATGTGTGTGGGGCCGAAGTTTGAGCTCTTTGTTTCCTGCTTGCCCAAGCTCCCTGGGCTGCTGAAGGCATATTGTCTCTGATCTGTCAGGATCCTTGCTGAAAGCTGTTTCTCCTTCTGCTGCTGAAGCACCACCACACAGAGGGAATCATCAAGACATGTCCTGAGGCGAGTGAGATATTGCTGGGGAAGGCCTTGGATTTCAACCTCATTCCTGTGTTATGAATGCAACTTATTTTCTGCAGGAGATTTTGGAAAGTAGATCAGGCTGTTCTTTAAAAAGAGCTATTACAAGGCTAAAATAATTCCAGCAAAGAAGATTGTAACATCACTCAGTGGAAAGGAACCTTACCAGACTCTCAATTACAGCCTGCAGCTTCACTAAAAGCAATGGAGCAGTGTAGGCATAAGAAATGAACAGTGCTGTCCATTTAACTTCTGAGGCTGGCAGGAGCTGAGGCAAAGATTTACAGTTGTTGATATAAAGTGTCAAAGATTTGGATTAGACCCCTTGCTTTTTTTTTTTTTTTTTTCCATTGGGATGCTCAGGAAGCTGGTCATGACTTTCTTATGCTCAGTGATATTTTACCCAAAAAAGACCAAAGATCCAGCCAGTGTCAGAGCAGCTGTGAGCTTCATGGAGAAAGGCAGAAATTCTGCCCCCTTATCTTAACCTTTATCCATTTGGGGACTTTCCTCTTTGAAGAGGAATATCTTGCTATTCCAC